CAGGAATGGTCTCTGGCATGAAGGAGAGAGGGTGGGAGCGGTACTCAGCTGTTGCTAGGAGACGGCGCTTTTCTAGTTTTTTCCCTTTGTTTGTTTGGGGTTTCCAAAAATCTGTGGGAGGTGAGGCTGGGGAATGTATGTTGGATGATACAAGTACCCTTTGTTGTGAAAAGAGTTGCTGAATCTCGACTATAATTTTAAATGAACAATAAACTGATTTCTCTGTAAAGGGGCAGCTGATGTCCAATACACAAACCATCCACATGGGGGAGCCACAAACATGAAATTCCCCAGGAGGAGTTTCTTTTGATCACTAATGTGTTATTTCAGACTCCATGACAGTACACCAACACACTGAACTGATTCCACTTTAAATATAAACATATGCATTTGTGTATTGGTTTAAATAAGTAACAGGTCTGTGATAATAATCAAAAATTGTGGGCACAGGCTACTGTGAGAAAACATGCCACTCGAGCTAGAGCAGCTATGACTGAGACGCTAATAGCTGCACAGAAACAAACACAAACACACACAACAGATAATTACCTGCTTCCGTACTGTCGAGTTTCTCCGTCCACTGCATGGGGGGGAAAGAAGAGAGAAAGAAATAGCGCTCTGTCATTATGTCTCCAGAGAAAGACTATTTATACTCACAACTCTGGTAACGCTCTGTTTGTATACACAGACACACATGCACACATGTTGAGAATATCTCTAAACAGTGATGGGGGAAATAATACCCCTGGCTGCCAAGAACTCTAGCTTAAACACTGCTATGGTATATAGAAGTGTGTGTGTGTTTATGTGGGGGTATATTTCCTTCTTTCACCACACCTACCTGGCAAGGCAACAGTCAGTCTTCTGACCTAAAGCGGGAAGAAACAGGAAGAGGGGGAGGAGAGGGAGGTTGTGACAGAAACGAGAGGATGAGATAGGCTTCAGATGGAGCAGGGAAGCAAACTTCCTAAAGGAGAGGTTCTGTATACTAGTCCCCCCACCACACCTCCACTTAAACACACAGCTGCATCCATATACAGTATGGTCACTGTCCCTGTGACCTAGCCCTTCACACACACACACACACACACACACACACACACACACACACACACACACACACACACACACACACACACACACCTTGATAAATTAAACTCATTGTGACTCTCTGCGTAGGTTCTGCTATATCCCACTCCACCATTCATCTCTCTGTTCTGCCTCTGGACATCTGACCTTTTCCTGAATCCACCTCCCTCCTACTGTGATGCTCCCAGTGCCATCACACACTCACATAAACGGGACATAAGGACAATAAAAGGTATGAAGGACACTGGCAGTCCCACTCACTCTCTCCCAGGGTCTTCTGGATAAGGTCATGCTTGGCCTCCAGCTTGGTGATCAGGTTCCTGCCTTCCAGAAACTCCTTCAGCTTCTACAAGTCACACACAGTCACATCATATGCAGATCATGGTCATATATAATTGCAGATTACACCGCAGTCAATTAGAAGCTTGCTTCTGAGAAATCTATGACATTAACACTAGACTGACTGTGAAGTAAAACTGCTCCGTCTCCTGCTGATTGGCCCGTCGCTTGGCCAGGCTGGGCTTGCTGAGATAGGATTCACTGAAAGTGGACTTGACTGACTCCATGCTGTTGCTGTGGTGGAAGCACTCCGACACATCGTAGTCCTCCACCGTCACCATGTCTTGGATGGTGGACAGAGTGGCCTCCATAGTTTTCTTCACCTGACGGGCAAGAAAAGAAGAGAACACCAGATATCATTTAAAAGCTGTGATCAACACACGAGACAGCTGCAAGGGAGGGAAGATGGCACAGATGGATGAATAATAACAGAGGAAGCCAAAACACAACTGACCTCTTCATTCTCAATTTTGAGTGTGGAGAGGCGGGACAGCAGCTGCTGACATCTCTGGAGCAGCTCGCCTTCGAGAGGCTGCTGTGCACACATCACTCCCATCTACAAACACACACACACAGACAGAGCATTAGCAAATCTATTACAACAGACATTTAAAATTGTCCTCACTCTGACAAACACAAGAACTGTACCGTGTCTCCCATGTGGGACTGGAAGTCAAAGCGAGCAGGCGGGCAGAAAACGTTATTGTAGGTCTCCATCAGTTTTTGTTTGTCCCCATTAGGCTCCAAACTTTCTGCCGCTCCCTCCAATGTCTCAAGACCGGTGTGTTTGGATGCCTCTACATTCTGTTCTGCTGATAAGTAGGTCCTCAGGGCGCGGTGCAGGCTGGCATGGTACCCCAGGTCACAGCACTGTTGTGCACACAAACACACGCATACATCTAAAACTCATGGCATAAAATGTAAGAATTGTTGGTTAGAGTGTGGATACCCGAACCAAGCCTGATGGGACTCGTCAGTACCTGAGGGTTTGGGCCAGGTTTGGACAGAAATGTATAAATTATGTTCAGGTCCAGGTCGGGTCAAAACGTGCAGGTCCAACTTTAGGCTAGACGGCTGGAGAAGTCAAATGTGTGCTTTGCTTAATGCTAAGGGAAAAAAACAAACTCAACTGCGCCGGGCCTGGGTTGGGTTCGGACATTAAATACTATAAGCTTGTCGGGTCCAGGTTGGGTTCAGACGCCACACTCTCAAACACAGATCAGGTTCAGACAGAAATACGCAGCTGGATCCCTGCCCTATTGTTGTTATAGCGTTACACACTTCTGTCACATTGTACTGTATAGGGTAGCACTGCCTATAGCTGGCACCTGATCTGTGGCAAATTGTATTAAAAAGTGTGTTTGCTTAATTAAAAAACAACAACGACAACAAAAAAACACGAGACACCACTAAATGACCACAGCAGCAGGTTTTGTTCAGTAACTGTGTCAGTGCCATCAATCAAAGTGAGTGAATGAACACTCGCTATCGACTTTTCCATCAGTCCAGCAGGCACTGAAGAATTACTATCGACCAGAGAATGAAGCGTTTCCATGCTATCTGGCTGTTTTTGCTGCTGGCTGTCCATGACACTGCTCTAGTGGATGGAGTGCTGGAAAGCAAAATGACTCCGAAGAGAAAACATGGAGACAGAGGGACCAGCCTGCTGCCTTCTTTAGGTGCTCTGATGCTAATGTAAAGAGGCCAACCAAGGATCCACCACTGGCGTGAATGCAGGGAGACTTGGATACACACACAGAGTGCAATATGTACACAGATGTTAGCTGCTCCAGCGGAGTAACAATTTGTGTTTATACTCACATCAAGGATATCAGAGAGGTCGTGGATGTAATATTTGAAGACACAGCTGTTGGTAGCCTCAAGAGCCAGCAGGTACTCATTCCGGGCCTTGATGGCCTTCAGTTTGTTCTCTGTGTACTTAGCTTGTCTCTGACAGGAGAGAGAGATTATGAAATGAGAGCAAAGAAGGAAAGAACAGGGTAATGACAGGGAGAGAGAGAGAGGTCAGAAGGGAGAAGGATAATGGGTGTTAGAGTGAAACGCCTCAGTATTGATTATAGCTAATATGAAGTGGTGAGCCATGTTGCTGTGACAGGCCCCAGCTGTAACAGACAAGGTTAGCAATGAGCCAGTCATACGCTCTTAAATCATTCATGAGGCACACACACAAGTCAGCGTGACAACAGGTGGAGTGCACTCCAACAGCTTTCTTCTTCCCTCCCCTTCCAGACCAGGCCCTGCTCACCTTCTCCTTCATCTTCTCGATTTTTTTGACGCTAGAGCGTCGGACAGGTTTCTCATCAGCCTTGATAGCGGCCAGGGCATCGGGGGAGCGTGGCGTCTGTCTGTCGTCCTGTCGACCGGAGCGTCCCATCTGCTTCTCCTCCTGTTTCTCTGCCTCCTTCAACTTGGACTCGGCATTGATGCTGTCAGTGTTGTACATGTGGTACGTCTTCATCACCTGGGAACAAAGGAGATTTGTAGATACACAATGTGTAGTTTCCCAGTGTGTCTCTTCCAGTTCTGGCTATGGATCATGCGTGAGATTATGCCAGCCAGCATCATGAAGAGAGCAGAGCACCGAAGTGCACAGTGCACAGACAGACCTCCAGCACTGGCACTCCACAACATTTTAGAGAATGAGTCACATACAGTCTCCTTTACTGTACAACACTGCTGTGCTTTGTTGTATGACTAAGGGTTAAACACATGAAAGGAGTATGTGTGCATGCAGCGTCAGCCTTATTCTGACAAACCAGAGCCATCATTATACTACTGAAACCCCCCTCAGAACACTGCAGTCAGACACACTGGTCTATGAGTATGCATGCGCACATCACTCAAACCAGATTGATTTCTATCTCTTACTATACTATAATTACAGCATAAGACCAGAGTTTGAGGGCTTGGCTGTACTAAAGCTATACGGCTACTTGCTGCTCAGAGTCATGCTGTAGTAGGAAACTTTGCCCGCCCACACACACACACACACACACACACACAGTTAAACCCAGTCCTTCTGGTAGTACCATGGATGTGTAGTCAGACAATAAAGATGTCCCTGACAGATTAAAAAGACCTAAATCTCAGTTAGCAGTTTATTAGGTAGACTGCTAACCCTGGCAATTGCATGTAGTGAAATACTCTTCTTATTAAAGAATGCAAGTGATCAAAACGCATAATGATTGATTTACATATAGTTAGTTTAATCAAAGTGGTTTCTCTTACCGAGTAAAGCTCATTAAGGACCTTCATCAGGTCCTCCTGGAGTTGTACGCCAACCTCTTTGCTCTGAAAAGGTGGGGAAAAAGACAGATTGTGATTGAGAATGTCCAACCATTAGCTGCAATTCTACTGTCTGTTCATCTACTCCGTCACCTCTCTGTTTGCTAATGCCATCCATACACACTCAGCCATGTGGTCAGGCATACTACCCCATCATCAGTCAAGACTAGAATATCTCACTGAATGGATGAAGAGTTGGAGGAGGAAGCTACACATACCGATCGCTACATGACGGCAGAAAGAATGAGTCAGAGGAAGCAAGAGGATGAAAGAGGCAACATGACAAAGCCAAAAAGAGACAAAGTGGACAGACAGGGAGTACCACTCTCCAGACATGACTTTCAGGAGCCACTGTAATTGATGATTTCACAGCAACCTGCAAATCAGGAGACTCCACATGCATTCACAAATGTACACACATAAACAACTCTCATACGTTTGTTTAAATATGTTGGGACCAGCTATTAAAAAGACACCATTCAGTCTGGGTTTTAATAGTGATGAAAACAGAGGCATAAACTAGCTCCAATATGTGTGCACACAGTTTCATACACATTTTACTAATTTATGATTTCAGGGGCATATAAATAAAAGTGAGCTACACTGAAAGCAGACAGGTAAAATAAAGCAAGGGACAAGTATGAAGGAAAACAGGAGAAAAAAAAAAAAGGAAAAAAGGGGGAGAGAAAAAAAAAAAAAAAAAAAAAGTGTACGAGGAATGCGGTATGAAAACAAGAACAGATTTCGCCAGCACATGTGGAGCATCTGTCTCCTCCTGGAAGAGAGCACAGAAGAGTGGGTTATAGATGGGTGCCAGAGGTGGGGTGATTAAAAAAATGGGTGGTCTGAGAGAGGTGGGGGAGTTTATGAAGGAAAAAGAGACAGAAACCATTATGATGAATTTAAGTGAAAGAGCAGAAAGGTCATGAACACAAGGCTCCGTGCCATAGAGGGGAGAGATTTAAGGTAATGCAGCAGGCGAAAGAGGTAACAAGATACCTGAGGTTGTCTAGCCTTCTCGCTTTAAAGTGCTGTAGGAGGCTCGTAATGGGTGTCAAGCAGCCAGACTATGGCCAATCAAAGAGCCATCAGCCATGACTGAGCCCTCCTATCTCTCAACTGTGGAGCTTGACCTTTGGAGTACTCATCTTGCCTGTGGTCATGTAGTGTGGCTACCGCAACAGAAACTAGCGACTGACACTTTATTAGCCTTGATGTTTGTGGTCCAGGTTGACACTGTGTCCTCATTAATACAGTTTGACTAATTAGATCTCACACACACACACTCCTACTGCTCAGTCTGCACTGCTTTCAACACTAGCCGAGATGAATGTGTGTTCTCTGAAATGGGTTGTGCCGGTGTTCATCTCCATTAGTTGTGTACGAGTATGCTGTGCCCCGGGCACTATTGGGATTGATGCCACCGACTGGAAATGTTATAAATGAGCTAATTACCTACTTAATTAACCATCAGAGAATTCTCTGTATATATGTGTGCGGCCTGTTTATGAACCTGCCATGTTGGAATTAACCCTTGTGCCAAAGAACATCCTGTGTTTGAGAAAAATAGAATTCAATATCCATAACTCAACCAACAGGGATGGGTAGAGACAAAGAGAGAAACAGTGGGGTTTTTTTGTACAGGTGCATCAAATACGCAGTAAAATTATTATAAATTAAAACAATGGCTGTGAGTGGACTGTAAACACAGATCAAGGAGAACCTGTCATATTAGAAGTCAGCAGCCTCTGCCATGACACAGACTGTGTCACTTTGCCATCCACACATATACACATTTGTTTTGTGTGTGGAGACTTTATATTGACTTAGATTCATTCCTGGAGGCTTACCTTAACCCTAACCATTATTTGCCTAACCCTAACCTTAAACCAAGCTAAAATTCAATTATTTACACAGTACTGATAAAGAAGGCCAAGCACCCACATTGATAGGTAGGTAGACAGACAGATACTTTAATGTCCTTTTGGGGAAATTTGTCATAGGCATCATGTTGCTGCATCATAAGAATTTCACAATATTTCAAAAATAAAGTGAGTAAATAAGTTTCAGTCCCCAGAGTGTGAGTAATACCAGGCATACACAAACACACACTCTTAGATTTAGATTACATACTTGTATTACAAAAAAGACTAAACCTATCCTTATCCATTGTCACTGCATGTGTATCTTTGATCTTTACCTTAGGCCTGTCACATTTTAATCTAAGCCAGGTCTAATTTAAAAAGCACCTTTCAGAAATGTTCTCTCTGAAACTTGTGCAGAACAAAAATGGATGCATGCAAATCAATACATCACTGTGACTTAAAACTAGAACAAGTAAAACACACACTCACTAAATTACTGTTTGTTTCTATATGTGATGCACTGCCTCTCTGAGCTTGTGTATCTGATCTAGTACGTCCAGCGTGGAGATGAACAGCTGTCGCCCAGGGGAGGACTCAGCCTTGGTATTTGCTCTGCAAGGTCACACTAAGCTCAGATCTCCAGAGATTTCACTTCATCCCTTCTTTTCGTGTCCTCTCATGATGCCCCATCTTTATTTTCCAGTTCCCTTGATTCTATTTCTGTTTTTCCTCCAGATTTCCTCTTTCCTTGTCTTGTTTTTCCTCAGACAAACAAGGCAGAGATCAGAGGAGACAGGAATGAGGGAAGTCTATGAAAGATTCAGTATAAACTCTCCTGGCCTCAGGTTCAGCTTAACTTTCTGTCACTTGATAAATCAGCCTAGACAGAAAACAGATGGAGGTGAGATGGATGGACAGGGCAAAAGTATAATGTGGCTTTAGGATATCAGGCTAAAAGTGATGTATTCTCTTGCTTCTTCAGTGTCTGAATTTGTTTAGGTGGAGCATCTACCTTTTAAAAACAAAGCCAGTGAGAGAACTGTAATCCATGTCCAAACCTACGTGTGTTTGTGTCAATGTTACCTTCTTGAAGAGGCGTCCCGAGTCCTCGCTGATCTGTGCGAAGCGTGGAATGATGTTATTGAGGTAGAGGTCGGACAGGGTGGCACGGTCGCGGCTCTCCCTCTTCACCTGAAGCAGCAACAGGTTCCAGCAGTTCACAGGAGATAAAATGCTCTGCTCCTTCCTACACACAGAGACACGGAGTGTTCAAGGATCTCCAAGCATAGTTTCAGATAAATCACTAGTATCAAATCTCTTTCATCCATTAAATTTTCACCCTGCTGATAGATGCACACACATACAATATACACTCACGGGCCACTTTATTAGGTACACCTGTACAATTCAATGCAACACTTCTGCTTGAACATCTGTGTTTATGAAGCTCAAAATGTTTCAGTTTTTGGTGAAATTATCAAATGTATCATTTCAATGATATGCTTATTATTGAGCTCATAGTTAGAGGTGGTGTTGTACTGGACTACATTATATTCAGAGGTGTTCCTAATATTCTGACCCTTTCACCTCTGAATATAAATACAACACCACCTTTAACTGCGACCTCAATAAAAAGCATATCATTGAAATGATAAGTTCAATGTATATGTGTGTATATACACGAGTGCATACACACACACAGTTTATGTTTTGTAGTCCATGGGGACTTTACATTGACTTACATGCATTTCCTGTAGACTAACCCTAACCTTAACCAGTACCACTACTTGCCTAACCCTAACCCTGACCCTAACCTTAACCTAACCCTAACCTCATCCTGACCCTAAACCATGTTGCCACCCTAAAATTCAATTTCTTGCCCATGGGGACCTCAATTTAGGTCCCCACCGTGAAATGGGTCCTCATGAGTTGGTATGGAGTCAGGAAGAAGTCCCCACGTAGCAGGAAAAACACGTCCACACACACACACACACACACACACACACCTATGCTGTGTTTTCATTAACCAGCCCAAACAGGGAATTCAGCCAGGGTACAAAACCCAGCAGGAAGGAGTACAGTAAAGACGCCCCACAAGCACAGCTGTCGCAGAAAGGAATAAGGAAAAAAAGGAAAGAGAGAAGAGGAAAAGAGTCAGAAAGAGAAAGATTTAAAAACTAATGATTTCTCCAGCAGTTTAATAGCTCAACACTGTTTCATTGTTTTTTGTCAAGTACCCATAAAGTCATTACACTAAACAAGGCTGCCAATGCCCTGCTTACATGACAACACAACCCCTTTCAGAGTGTGGGCATGCCATGTGCGTGTGTGTACAGTATGGGTGATCCATGGATGATCTAGTGGGCAAAATGGATTATGAATGAGCATAAGTGGATAAAAGAGGGTCTGTGTGCCTTTAAGAGCAGCTTTAACAGGACAGAGACAGCAAAGGGCTGAAGGGAATTACATCACACACACACACAGATGGGGGTCAGGAAAAGTAGAGCAGTGACCCAAGCATACACAGGGTCAGAAAGACAGAAAAAGTCTTTGACAAATGGCTATAAACTGAAGACCGTGTCTGTGGGGAGGGTTGTGTATGTGTGGGAAAACTGGATTTGATGAGATGAGTCAGACTGTGATGTGATATGCTGGTACTGACCGTCACCCTTAAGATAGCCCGATTACTAACAGAATGCAAGAATAAAAAGATCAAAGCTAAAATACTGAAACTTGAGTGACGATCCTGTGGACACAGTTGGTTTTGTATCACTTTCTACTCCACATTCGCACTAATGCCTCTTTCCTTTCCACTGAGTCCATCTCCATTGGTTGCACAACATTTTCCTCCACCAAAACGAGGCAGTAGCTCCTCTATTCACCAGTCAGCCTCTCCAGCTCCATGTCACCCTCAGCCCACCGCTGACAATCACCATGGTAATGGTCAGATCACCTGACCCTGTCCCTACCCTCAGCTATCACAAGGTAAACACTGAAATGTCACTGACCCTCTCAAGGTCACATGGTGCATGCTGGGAACATAGTGAGTTTTCATGTGAGGTGCCACCAATGACTAACACTGGAGGGAAAATGCCAAATGGTCGTTTACATTCAGTATCAAAGCACATAGTATTAAAGGGAGTCTCACTGGTGGCAGACTGGTCCAACTGAACAGTTGAACTAAATACTGGGAGCAACTGCTGTGTCAAGGCAACAAGATGGAGATACACTGAGAACATGGTTCAATAATCTGACTGACAAGGATGCAGTAGGAAACAGGTCTGGTTTGACAAAATAACAGCCAAAGTGTGTATACACATAATTACATCAGATAGAACATCAATATATTGCATATTGTAGTATTTATAGTAAGTTATTTTAACACTGTGACACACTTTAAATCTCATCTTGTTGTTAAAGGCTGCATCTCAGTTAAATGTTATCATATTCATAAAGATTTTTTAATTACCACCTACTCCTAGTTTCCAAAAAAATATTCTATAGCATAAAGATGACTCAAAAAGGACTTTTATGAATAAATCCTCAATTTTTAATCATTCTGCAACTCAGAAGAGAGTCTTGATTCTCAACCTTAGATAAAACTGTAGTGTGATTTTTTTTTTGATTGTGTATTTTGAAGCTCCATAAACACTATAGAGAGGGTAAGCTTGGGCAGACTTAAATGAATACAGCCAGAGCAGATGTAGAACAGCCATTTTTCAGGTCATATGTGGTCATACAATCCTCAAAACCACAGTGAAATAATACGTAGCTGTAGCTATGGGCTGTGTAAGGGCTGCAGCTTATTAACAGCGAGACTGGCCTAATACGCAGCATAAGGGTAGGGGTCTGAATCAGTGTACGGCTTGTGAGGGCTTTTCCATGTGACCAATCAGCCTGTCAGCCTCAGGGCACACACACACAGACGCGCACAATTCAGCTAAACCGTGTAACCCCACCACCACTGCTGTGTGCAGCCTGCCAAATAGCAGGAATACCAGGAGTCTCCACAGGATCAGCACACACATCCCTCACACCCCACAGTGCTTGGAGCAGCATCAACGGCTGGTTGTACGAAGAAACAGGCAAGCGCACACACACACACACACACACACACACACACACACACACACACACACACACACACACACACACACCTAGATTCAGACTCGCACAAAAAAAACGCTCACATAACTGGGAAATAGCTGAAATTCCAGAGTGGCACCCGGACGGAGCAGCAGCAGATGCAGGGAGACTGTTAAATAGACAGATGTTGGAAGAAGAGAAATCAAAAAAAAAAAGTCAGAAAAGCAGAAAGAGATGAACAGTAAAGACTGAACACTTGTCAGTAAGTCAAGTGTTTTGTTGCCTTATGACAGCAGCTGCAGTAGCGGACCTGCTAAACTACACATTTTATTTGCTGACCTTTGACCTCCCTTCTCTGCTGCTCTCTGTCCCTCCCCCCACATGCAACACAGGGAAACACACAGGCAACTGCCTCAATATTGATCTGAGCCGGAGGGTGTGTGGATGTGTGAATGTTGGCTGGGGGTCCTCCTGGATGGCATTGGGTTTCGTTTAGAGGACCTATCAATTCCTTTTAGTCTGTGCCTGTGTGTGTGTGTGCGTGTAAGGGAGCACAGATTAAGGTTCACCCCCAGCAGATAAATGAATGTTTCTGGAAAAGTGCATGATACTTTGGGGAAAAAAAAAAAAGATAAAAGTGCAGGACAAAAAAGAGCAAGGCTACAGAGGAGGTCATGGTTAACTGGAAATCAGCGAGCAAGAGACAAAAGATGAGCTGAAGAGGAAAAGTCCAGTCTTTCTTAATAGATTTGCTCTGTAGTAATGAGCTGACAAAAACACCTACAGATATAATATTTCTAAAGTTAAATTATAGTATAATTATCAAATCTGGTAACCTAAAAATAAACCGTTATTCTCCCAGAAACATATTAATGACCTGCAGTATAATGAATCAGGATGCTAAGATAAAAGATGCTCCTGCACACTTGCTTACTTCTGCTGTTAATGATTGGCAGATTAATTAAGAGTAGTAAGAGTAAGCACTTACCTGAGCGGCCAACAAAAAGTCTGTCTCCTTGTTTTCTCACTTTCATGTCATTTCTTAAGTCCGCCTGATGCGGGCGTGAACGAGAGAGATGGCTTCGATCTACAGTCATCTTTATTCAAACCCACAGTATTATTTTGAAGAGTGTGTAATTACTGATGACATAAAACTGTCCCACAAATGACACGCCACATCACCACGGGTTGCTGGTGCGTGGTCGATGCCCATGTCCCGGGCTAAAAGATGGAGGAGCAAGGATGCAAGGTTTCATAATTAGCTCAACAGAAGACACCCTCTGCCTCCATGTGCCTGTGTTGGCTCCACTGAATTGGTACGTGTGATTTATGATTAGTGTTCGCTTACATACAGGAAAACTTACTGCTCACGCCCACCGGACAGATAAGATATACAAGAATGCATCACAATGCTGCTAAAGCTGATGAGCTGCATCTTAATATTTATGACTGTGTGAATGAGAGCAGGACAGACAAGGGAGAGAAAGAGTGAGGAGAGACCTTCTCTGGTGAGAGAGAATCCCTGTTTGGGCAAGGACACACACACACACACAGCAAGACACTGCTAAACAGTTAGAGCACAAAATCACCACCTGGCCATTTCTGGCAAAAGTTACAGGTCCACACACAAACGTAAACAGACTTACAGGACGCACACATGACAGAAATGATCATACAGTGTTAATGAAATGTACAATAAACCAGTTCCATTAGATCACACTGTGTCACAAGGTAGTGTTTTACAGACTGACACACACCAGCGTGACCTCTGGCACCATCTCTTTCAGGCATCGTTCTGTTTCATTTCCTAGTCTGCCTCTACTTCTCTTTTCCCAGGAAAGAGGGCATCAGGCTCAAAAAACCCTCTGTACTGTCAAAGAGCTAAATAAAGAAACCGGGGGGTGTTTCATCTAGAGGTGTTAATTCCGTCAATGAAAACTTTAATGAAAAATATTGGGCGAGACCCTTTTTAGTCATTTGAGTTGCTGCACTGTTAATAAGAACATTACATTCAGTGATGTTCTGTCATCTGAAATTACCGCTTCTCAAATCCACTGAGAATTAGACAAGAAGATGCAAAAACACACCTGCGTCAAACAGCAAAAACCCAGGCAGCACAGAGACGTTTATGATAATAAGGTAAGATAATATACCATGAAGTGTTGTGGTTTAAGTTATTTTCAGCATTGCTATAAAATGAGCATGTTCCCGGCAGTTAACCATTTAGATATTCTTGTCAGAAATCCCACTGTATTTATGTTGTGCAACGATTTAGCTTCTCCTCTGAAGCCAAACCCAGTGACTTGAGATTTCAGTCAGAATGTGTGTGAGCTTCTACATCACATGTTGCTCTGCAGCACAGCGCTTTTTCCACTTGCGACAGACTACATCAACACCTGTAACCATGGTAACTAAACAATAAGGGCAACAGCTATGGCCTCAAAATGCACAGAAGATGTAAACATTAAAGATGGCAAAAACTGGACTGAAATGTCTTTAGTTTTCGTTGACTAAAACTAACAAAAGCCTAAAAGTTAACTAACACTAATATGAATTTTTGTCCAAAGACTTGGACTAAAATAAACTAAAACTATACAAATGCACTATACACTATATATGCAAACTATACACATATACACAGCATCTTGGAATGTTTAAAAGAGAGGCTGTCTAGAGCATGCCAAACTGAAATGCATGCAGGGCCTTAAGCTGCAACAACCTGAAGCCCAGTGTGTCTAGTGCATTCTGTGTGCACCATACTTGAGCAGATGGTCCTTGGTGCTGCGCGTCTTGGTGAGGAATCTCTCAGCCAGCTTCTCCAGGTTGCGGCTGTAGTCCATCTCGATCTCGGCCTTCTTCCTGAAGAAGTCCTGCAGGTCCTGAAGCAGCTGCACCCTCAGCTCACACTGCTGGTCCAGACACTTGAGCTGTTCTACCACCTGGGCACGGATCTCTGCCACGATGAAGAGAACAGGGGTGGAGAGAGAAGAAGTGTCTTTATTTCATTATAGCAAATACGATCCAGGTGTAATCAACACAGTGAAGCCACAAAGGACATCCTACACATTTCTTGTAAAATCTAAAACCTCTTTGCTCCAAAAATATTAACTATACACAATTATCCACACAGCTTAGGACGCACAGTAGCTGCATTATGGCTGCGTTACACGTTATGGCTGACAATGCAGTGCTATTAAGATATGTGCCACAACAATGTGTAAGATATTCAAGTCTAAAATCGTTGCCTGTTTACAGCTGATGTGGACGAATTCAGATGCAGTGAAAACACCTGGCAGAGCCCTGAAGCATCAGCTTAGAGTCCCGGCTGGAATCCATCCCTCTCCCACCAGATAAGCACACGGTGCTGTACATGTGTGTACATCACCACATTTATATGCATATGTGCAGTCAGCTATCCTCTTCCACACACAGAGATCTCCAGAGGCGATCATTTATCCCAGCTTATCACATTTCATTTTCCCCTGTGTTGCGGTCCAGTCTGGCCTCAAATTAATAGAGTGCACTCAGTGCAGAGGCACTCCGAAACCATATTCAATCACTGGCTACAGAAACGTCCTCTGGAGAGTAACGCACATTGCACTTATAGACAGGAGGACAAACAGCATCCAGCAACACGCACATCAATGTATACACTTAAAGGACACACACACACACGGTGATAAGTAGGGCTGCCCCCTGAAAGTCAACTAGTCAATCATCAGTCGAGAGACCTCTCAGTCCACTAAGTCCTTCCTAGTCAAACCTTTTTTATTTTGTCAGCTAGTATTGAGCAAACCGCTGCCCAGAACAAGAATTGCCTGTATTCAGATATACAAGTGTGTTCTTGCCTCATTATTCTGAGGGATTCATATGGCAGCCCGACATTATATCGTCAATTTAAATAAGCCCCAATTTAAGTGCTGCATCATATGCAGCTGTCTTTATTGATTTTTAAATGCTCAGAAATACATTCCTGTCACTCTTTTGCATTTGATTACCGATGTTCATCAGTAAAATTCATGTCATGACAGACAGACATAAAACAATTAGTCAAATGTTTGCACTGAACAGTCAAATGACAACATTCTGACAAAATTTTTGGTTGCGTACAGCCCTAGTGCTAAGCTACATCAGTGCTGACAACTGACAGATTATGCTCTTACAGCTGCCTGCCAATGCTGTGCACCCTTTAAAGAGTTAAGAAACAACATGTACACACACTCCATTGCCAGCCTGTGCAGCTAAACTACCCAAGCTCTCCTACCTTTACAGCGCTGGCTGTACAGAAAGCGGACGGTTTTGGCCTCCATCCTGTCTGCAGTTCAGTATAGCCTCCCCTCACACACACTCATTCAAACACACACTCACAGGCAGGCAGTGTCAGCTGCCTGTCTGGCTGTCAGTGGCTGTTGATGCTGCTTTTGTGTAACTGCTGAGAATGCAGTTTCTCATTACCACAAAGAGAAGTGAGAACTCTAAATGTTTCTGTGACCAACCTGCCCCTTCCCCCATCGCTAACTTCGGCACTGCTCTCTTGTAAACACAGATCTAAACACTGTGCCAGCAGCAGTGTCCCTTGTTCTTTTCTCATTAAAAGGCTGGAGCAGAGGAGTTCTGTTGCATTATGACTCTACAACACAAACACACATACACAGAGCCCGTGTCTACGCTAATGACCGGGTGTGGATACTTGCTTTGACAACATGTGTTATTGTCATGTGGCCGGTGTGTGTGTGTGTGTGTGTGTACATGTGTGTGTGTGTGTGTGTGTGTGTGTGTGTGTGTGTGTGTACGTACATGTTTGTGTATAATTTCCTCATCACACAATGTCAGTGATGGGGAGTGAGCCAGTGTCCCGCCTCTCAAGGCTGCAAAAGAAAGCCTCAAGATGGCAGCCTTGTAATTAGACAGCAACAACAACGCAACACATGCACAAACACCTCAACTGCAAAACAAGCACACACAATCCATGAGGAGCATCAGAAGGCGACAGAAAGCCTAAGCTAATCAGAGGAGCGTGAGGGCTGGAGGATATGTAGAAAGAAAAAGCGACCGCAATCTCATGTGACATTAATGGGGATAAAATTAAATAAAGGGGGCCATGACCCGAGCCCCAAAACCCCTCATGGGCCCATAACAGTCACATTAGGATGAAGAGTGATTCCGACAGCACGCTCCATTTTGCATAATATATGGCTGTGCAACCCAACCAAAGCTAAACCAAAGCTCTCCACAATATACCTGGTTGACATTAGACACCAGCGTCAATAGTGCAAAACAGAATTTCTTAGAAGGATCTGAAAAAAACATTTTTATCCATGTACTGTAGATGTTGTAAAGCCTGCTCTGATCTTTTCTGGTTTCTCTCCTCTTTGCTCTACCTTTGTCTGAGTTAACACGCCTCTCCTCTAGATGATAGGTTTCCATCTCATCCTTCTGTAAGGGTCATCATCCCATGAGCCAGTAAGGAGTGGGTTGTGAACCTCCAGACAACATAGTCACATTTTCCATCCAGATGAGTGCGAGTCTTGTAATCTGGCTCTGGGATTCTACTTTACTAATGCTCTCCTCTTTCTTTTCCCTCCTTCTTCCACCTCCTCCCCCCTTCTGGAGCACTGAGGGCTGTCTGGCTCTGTCTGCACGAGCCATATCCATAAACTTTTCACTCTGCTCACTAGTCCCGCCACCAAACCACAACTCAGCAAAGGGAGAGGAGCGGCTCTAGCTCTCCAATATCCTCTGTATAACAACTTGCCCACAATGAACATGATTTCACAGTACCACAAAGTCACCATGTTCCTGGCAACAGACAACGGTGACTAGCAATCATAGAAAGTAGGGGTGGGGATCAGAAAATTCAAGGTTCAGATCACAGATTGGATTATTTCTCAAATCAGAAAACAAAACAAAAACAGTCCAAAGTTTCAGTAAAATCTTCAAATAATATATTCAATACTCAATTGTTAAGTTAACCTAACCAAGTAGCTTCTGACACAAAACACAATGAACAGGGGTGTGACGATACACTTAGCTCACAAGATGAGACATGATACACAATATTGGGCTCATAAGAACAAGAACAGACGATATTTTAACACTATTTTTAAGAACTATTCAATAACAAAATACATGACGGGAAAAATAGTCTTATTTGACTGAAAATCACAGAATGCAAAATACTGCAGGTGCGTTTTGAAACATTTTAACTACGTAATCAGGAACTGCACATGAGCTTCTAACTGAAGCTGTTTGTGACCTTCTATAATATTTTCACCCTCGCCGCACTGGGCAGTGACATCATCCAGCAAAGGCGCTGCATTGACCAATCACGTAAGGGGGACAATCAGGATGTGCACGCCCAAGGGAAGAAGACTCTTTTTGTTTACCTTGTTAACATGAGCATTCCCTGCTATTGACTGTTGAATCTGGGCCACAAGTAATGCACCACAATGACACACCATGCCAACAGGCATCGACACCCCAACAAGATTTGTCTAATTTAACATCACTTCCTTGATGTAGAGCTACACATTTGTCATAAATGTCCATTTCTGGCCATGTGGCAACATCCAGTCATTTGTTGTACAGATCACTGTTGAGTCTAACAGCATTTTTGTTTTGCTTTCTGCCCAGTCACAGGAGCCACCTGTTGGTTTGTCCTGGCACTAAGTAGGTGAGGGCGTGGTATTGTTTGAACAAATTACATCACTGCATCCACATCTTCATTCTCTATTTAGACAAACATTGAGCTCACCAACTAGCATGAAATGGGAGAAACCTGAGGAGGCTGACGTCTTCTTCTGCCTCAAACTGTTTCACCCACTTTGCACTTCAATGTCTATTACTGATTAATTTGCTTATTCCAACCCAGAGAAAGGAAGACAAAAATAAAGAGACGATGGATGGAGACAGCATAACCACCATGGTCACTGCTTGCTGTTAAAACTGCTGTGGGCTGAGGCTGAAGGCAGCAGGTCTGGGTTGCCTCAAATCAAACCAGAGTCAGACATGTTGCTGTAGAAAAATGTGTGGATGGATATGCAGAAAGAAATACAACAAGAAAAGAAAACACTGGAGACACTGCCAAGAGGCAAACCAACCAGTCACATAATACTTGAGCCCCATTTTGGCGCACACAGCGTGGAACAAGGAAAGTCGTGTTTTTCCTGCAACGTTACCTTTTGTGGCTACAGTTAGTGTTTACGGGAAAACACGCCTCTAGCTTTAGGCGGTATTGTTTGGACCTGACAAAAGTGACGGTTATCCTTGATGCTGTTCTGAGCTGGCCTAGATGCAGTAGCAACACACACTGCTGCAAGCACTCATTATACCTGAAAACACCCTGGGCTATGGACACAACACCCACACACACATACCCAGAAATCTGGCACCGTGGGTCCAAGCTGTCACTCTCAGCTGTTTTGACGGCAGCTATCCAGCCCGCTCCTGAACACCCCACCCCAGATCTGCCTTCCTCTATTACTGAAATGGGCTTGTAGACACACACACACACACACACACACACACACACACACGGCAGCTGTTTAGATGCTGCTGTGATGACTCTTCGAGACAAGACTAGAAGTGGCTGGAGATGGAGTGTGAAGGAGAGCACAATCAACACAGGGACAGTAAACTGGCACAGACCCAAATGACAATTTTTTTATAGATTTGACCTACTGATAATAAAACCCTACTCACAGAATTAATAGGTTCGCAAAGTAGGAGAATTCATTTTGACTGCCCCCGTTTCCAAAACTACAAATCCCATTCATTTTCTCCATAGAAAAGGCTATGTGATTCAGCAGCTGAAGCACCTCCAAGGCTTGGCAATGAAATAAGGTGCCAAATCCTAGGTGGGCCTTAGGTGACTTCCATGGTGCATGTCAGTAAGATATGGAGCCCGGGAAGGGACATGGGAGCAAAAAATAAATAAATCAATGGTTGACTTTG